GTTGAGAATTTTGAATTGTGAGTTGAGAATTTGGAATTGTGAGTTGAGAATTTGGAATTGTGAGTTGATAATTTGGAATTGTGAGTTGATAATTTGGAATTGTGAGTTGATAATTTGGACTAGTGTTTTAAGTTTAGAATTACGTTTTTGACTTTGGTTTCGGTATTCGATTTTGTGTGTGTACTGACACCTGTGGGCCACCGTAGGTTTGCCCCAAGAGCAACAATTACTCATCTTGGGGGCTCACTATTAAATTTACATAAATGGACACATAACACAACTCGTTACCAATAATAATCAGCACATTATGTAAGTTCAGTTCGTAATAATTGAAAATGTAAGCATTTTCCTCTTCAGAGATTTGCAAAGATCCAGATAGGAAAACACTTATTAGCTGCGTTTCAGTCATTGTGTGCCACCTGTGAGCAAAAATATATGCAGCAGAGGAGAGCAGTTTCAATCTTGGAGCAGCAAACAATGGACAATGTAAAAAGTAATGATTAATACTTTCAACTTCAAAGCCACAAAGACATTCAGAAGATGGTTTAGACCCAATTTTAAATAGATAATAATTAAGGGCACAAATGTTTAAACGTAAACGAGTATGAATGATGGAAAATTATGTATCGAGAGAAAAGTTAAATAACATATTTTGCTGTGAAACATCAAAAATACGAAACAAAGCTTTTTTAAATAAAATAACTGAATCAAGAGTACGCACAGATGTGTCAATATCATTCCACAACGTAGTCGATAACGGGAAAAAATTTTTTTGAAACGCTCAGTACGTACTGGAAATAGAGTGAAATCCGGCTACAATCTCAGAAAATAATGAGTTCGCTCAAACACCTGAGATGGCAATAGCTCCTTTAAATAATTTGGAGTTAAATTATTGATAATTTTAAAATAGAATGTCAGCTTGTGGATAAAACGCCTAGTTTTCATATCTTCCCAACCGGTTTCTTGAATTAAAGAATGCCTACTAGTACCCTTCATGGCACCCGTCACAATTTTAGCCGCTTCGTGTTGCACAAACTCAAGGAGGTCGCTTTCACCATCTGTACAACCATCCCAAAGAACATCTCCATATTCCATTAGAGGACGAATTAGGGATTTGTATAATTTGTTCAAAGTTTCCCTGTTGATTATATATTTCAATCCTTTTAAGCATATCAAGCTTTTTCATATACTTTTAAAACGCGAGCCTTCCAGGACAGATTGCTTGATAAAGTTACCCCGAGATGGGTATGTAGCGAAACATTCGCGACTATATCGCCATCAAAAAACAAATCGGGATGATGGGGCTTAAACTTTTTAAAGTGAAGTGAAGGCGAAGTAATTTTAAAGCCGAGAAAATCAGAGTTAAAGTTTATGTAAATCAACATGAATCTGTATCACATAAAAGACACACTGATGATTTTTCTTTGTGTTTTCTTCATGAATTATTAATGAGTTCTTTAAAGCTTATTAGAAGATGATGCAAGTGTTGATGATGAAACAGGTATTTAATATTTTATGTCTGTTTAGTATTTAACAAAAATCGAAAGCAATTTGGTGATACAAATCGATAAATATCAATAATAATCAATAAAATTGGCTATACTGTAACTTTTTGTGACTATTCATCGATTGGTCAATGTCAATTGATATCAATTAAGTAATTAACATCGATTTCCATTGATTGATCGATTGGATTTCAAATGATCAGTTTTCATTGATTAAGTATGCTGAGAATATAGGCACATAGGCTGGGTCCTCTCAAAATTTCCAGCAAAATGGGTGTGGATAGCTTGAAAAGAAACCTAGTGAAGGAACTTGCATTGCCAACTGATTTATTAGGCTTATTATTAGCATTGTATCACAGTTTCATTGATATTCAGTGGTGAAGCCAGCCCGACAATTCAGGGCTGGCACCAGAGGGGGCTGGAGGCCCTCCAGCCCCTGTCGGGAACCTTAGCTCCCTGTCGAAAAATGTAATAAGTCGTCAGGGAAAATTAACAAGTTACACATTCTCTAATTGGTTCCCCGAAGGGGGGGGGGGGAGGGCTGTAGCCTCCCCTGGCATCACCCTGTGACACTTTAGTCATGCTATGAAAATTTCTTTAGGGCTGGTATGAAAATTTCTTTACACCAAATTGTAGGGCTGCCTTCACCACTATTGGGTCATTCCAGAAAACATCCATACCACCCCCACGGAGGATATAGGAAGCTAACCCTCCTACCCCCTTCGGATGTCCTAATACATTTACTGTTATCAGAAACAATTTTTCTCCCCTCCCCTGGGCTTTCAAAATAAGCCGCCGGAGCTCCGACAGGTGCTGCAAGGTTCACCGCCGGTTACTTTGTTTAGTACTTGAAATATCAATTCTGCTCTCCTTTTTCCACTCTAACCTTTCAAGTTATTTTTCATCAACGTGCTCTAATGATTTAGTTATTTGCAATCTTAAATCTTAATGTTATCTTGTTGAAGAATTAAAGTGGTGATACATTATAACTTGGTTACAGAGCTCAGTTGTGTTGCTATCTAATCAATATACACTAGTTAATTTGGATAACCTTAAGACCCTCCCAACAGCTGCCTACTCTATCAAAATAGACACCTACTTGGAGTAATTCTGAAAGCCCTGCTTCCCCTTCTGGATGGCGGAAATTTTCTCCATTGGGGCGAGTATGGATCTTTTCTGAAATGACCCATTGATGTTATAGCATTTTATATAATGCTAATTATTTAGTGTAATGCTGAAAATCAGTAAGGATTTTCTGTATGATAATCATTATACTTGTCAAGGGTGTAATTTTCCAATGGCTTTATTATATTATCTGGTATTCAAACAGAAATAAAGTCAAATCAGGATACATCAAAGTCTTAATGGGTTAATTAGGCCCTGATTACATGGAGCATTTTCAACCCTGGAGTTGACCTCTGCCTTGTCTGTAATACAAAATGCTATCAAAATCAAACATATGATTTCAAAATTTTCAATTCAGGGCCTAGTTCAACCTGCTTCAGCTAGCCGAGTTAAATTTCAACCCCAGGTTGGACTTGTCCTTGGGTTGAAAATTTTATCATGTAATCATTTCAACCCAGGACTAAAATTATTCATGTGTTACTCGAACATGTGATAGAGGCTATGGAGCTGGTTTTTGTTTTCACTTCCCGGAATGTATAGCATTTCAACCTCAGGGTTGAAATTGTTCATGTAAATGCAAAATATCAGTTCAACCCAGTTATGTAAACATGGCTGAGTTCAACCCTGTGGTTGAAAGTGCTCCATGTAATGGTCCCCCTTAGTGTGGTGTGATCCGCCTACACAGGTAAAAATCTCACATTGCCAACAAGCCATCAACAAGATATATTCGCACTGCTTGTTACAAGTTGTCAACAGGTTTGGAACAACTTGTTGACAATTTGTAACAACCTTATTGATATTATCAAGCTTGTTACAAGGTTGTTCTGACAAGTCTGTTACATGCTTGATGTAACAAAGATTGTTACAACCTTGTGTTGACAACCTGGTGACATCCATGTTATATAATGGCTGTAACAAATTTGTTGGCACAGTCTTGTAACAAGGCTGATAATGCCATCAAGCTTGTTACAAGTTGTTAACAGCTTGTTCCAAACTTGGAACAAACTTGGAACAAACTTGGAACAAGCAGTGCAAACACAACTTGTTGACAGCTTGTGAACAGACTAGTAACAACTTGTTTGCAGACTTATTAACAAGCTGTTCATTTTCACAGCTGTGCATTTTTAGGCATGTGACAGGGCTGTAATGAAGGGTGGCAGATTACCATAATCGAATCACTTTTATTTCGACTGGCCAATAAGGTTTAATTTAAAACAATATGATTATTGTATAATATATGATAAAATTATTGAATTATAAACAATTTGGTGTGGGCTAGCTACTGTACATGGAAACAGTGTTCTGAACTTCTGACAATCTTTAACAATTAGTAATAAATTTGTCAAGTTTTATATGTATCACATTGTTTCATTCCTTTTCTTTGACTGCCTTTCATTAATTCATGCTATACTTTAATAGTAATAAAGTCTCTCATGAAGGAAAATGCTCCAACTCTTATATAAAGTGTTTAAATTATATTTTCTGTGCAGTTTCTGTGTAGAGTTCGAAGGTTGAACTTCACACAAAATCACAATATTTTCCAACAATGCCGACATTTTGCTGGTGTAGTGTTTTATAAAAATCCGATCAATTGCTCAGGAATATATTTGCTGCTTTACAGTTCTCACAATTTTATAGCAGCTCACACAAACAAGGAATCAAGCTGTATAAAAATATTCTAAAAGTTTATCTTGATTGTTCCTTGCACTTGGACAGAATGTTGTGTAAAGTGGCCATGCAAAGCATCAAACAAAGCATTGGTAGAGGAAACAGTAGCCAAACTGTCTATTATTTATGTTCCATGTAGGTTCTCCTCTACAAATTTGACCTGAATCGATTTAATATAATGGAAACCACGTCCTCTAATAGTCAATGCAGCACAAGTTTTGTCTCTCCCTTTACTTTGTAGACTTGCACACTCTCACTGACTAAAATGAAAAACACTCTCGCCATCAATTTCTTGTATAGCTTCAGTTATTTAGCGTCTATTTCATCTAACTGTATTTCCGTTAGAGTAACAGACACGTCCTCTGATGCCTCGATCATAAACTGTTGCTATGCTCGCTTTCTTCAATATTTTCATTTCCAACATTCAAAATAGGTTTGTATGTTTGTTTGCTTTGTATGAACACGTATGTATAGATATATGTAGATATATGTACGCCTCGCGTACCTATAGACAATCGGATTGTAGTGTCCAAAAGACAAAGAAGGAGATGTGGTGTTTTGTAACAAAAAATACAATAAATGTAATACGAATTCCTGTGTTCGGCTACAAATGAGAGTTGTCAATAAATTAAACTATATTGTAAAGGAGTTTTTTTACAAGTTTCACAACTACATGTTCTACCTGTTTTCCAAAATGCCTGTTCATTCCATCTGCTCTCTCAGCATGTTTTCAACCAAACCAAGAGCAGCAAGATAGACATCGATTCCCATTTCAGTGGAAGATCTGAGGGGATCAACTGTTTGGAGAATGATTAAAATTTCTGCAGTGGTCTCATTATGATATATAGGTGAAACAACAACGTTGTTGTCGCTATCTTTGAAGGGCGGTGGATCATTAGGATCGTATCCATAAAATTGTAAGTCATCGGGAGTGTCATCCAGTCCCTTGTATGCTAATAAGTTTTCCGCATTCATCATTCCATTTAGCCACATTTGATTTGGCGACCAATTATTGGCTGTCCGAACGCCATGGGTTGTTAAAAGCATCCCTGTATTCCTGCAGTGCTTGATTAATTCGAGACCGAAATATGTAGTGTAATATAAAAACATGTGTGGGATTGTCAAGAAAAAAAATGCCAGCATCTTCCATGGCATAAAATACATAGTAAAAGTAATGGAGCATGCATAACCGCTCTATTCGTTTATTGAATTGAATAAAAGTTTATTGAATTGAATAAAAAAGGTACTGAATTGAATAAAACATGTATTGAATTGAATAAAAAAGTATTGAATTGACTAAATATTTATTGAATTGATAAATAAACTTGCTTACTGAATATTGCTACCATCGGCTTGCCATAGTTCTACTTGTTGTAGGAATTTCTTAGGATAACCATTTGTCATCAACGTGTTTGTTATATGTTTGCATTCTTGTTGTTTTCCTTCGTTTGTGTTAGGTAATGTTGCTGCTCTGTGTAAGAGTGTCAGTGCAGTGCTAACTTTGTGTTGTTTGTCATGGTGCAAGTTATAGTCTAAGTATCTGTCAGTGTGTGTAGGTTTCCGGTATACATCAATGGAAAGAGATCCATTGTTGCGTATGATTAAAGTGTCTAAAAATGAAAGTTTTCCATCGAGTTCCTGTTCTGCGGTGAAATTAATATGTGGATTGATGGAGTGAAGTCAATTGTAAAAGTTGGTCAATGCATGTTTCTTTAATGATAGAAAAGACATCATCAACATAGTGAGACCATTTCTTAGGTGGTATGTTTGATTTGTTAAGTGCTGTGTTCTAAATCTCCTCTATACAGAGGTGTGCCACAATAGGGCTAACAGGACTTCCCATACCACAATCGTGAATTTGTTTGTAGGGTTTCTTGTTCTAATTAAAATAGCTATTAGTAAGAGTGAAGCGTAAAAGTTTAATTATGTCATCAATTGGTAGTTCTGTGATGTAAGGTTTTGTCTTTCTCGAGTTGGTTGCATATGTGTTCACATGCCTTGTCAACTGGAATTGCTGTAAAAAGTGATACAACATCAAAAGACACCATGATTTTGTCATTGTCAATGTGAGTTTCAGTGAGTTTCTTGGCATAGTCAATAGAGTTGTTAACAGATCAACCGTTGTGGTTTTGTAAAGGTGACAGAATGTTTGAGAGAAATTTAGAGGTGTTATAAAGAGCTGTGTTCTTACATGTAACAATAGGACAGAGTGGATTGTTAGGTTTGTGGTGTTTGACAGATCCTCGTATGGCAGGTGGTATGGCGTCAGTAGAATGCAGTTTATTGTATGTGTTTTGGTCTAGTTTCTGTTCGTGTTTCAGTTGAAGTAAATGTGTGTTCAGACTACGTTTGATTCTTTTGAAGGAGGTTTAGTCACTTTCTCGTAGGTTTGTTGATCGTCTAGCAATTCTTGCAACTTTTCGTCGTAGTCACTTTGGTCCATCACTACAAAACAGTTCCCTTTGTCTGCTTTCATTACTATCCGAGTCTTGTCTTTCCTGAGTTCACTAATTGCTTTGTGTTAATTGGCTTTAGTGTTCTTATGACTTGATAGTTGACACCATCTTAAAAGGTTTGCCGCTGATGTTCGGATGGAATCCTTCGATTCATCAGGTAGGTCAATGATTGCAGCTTCAATCTCAGCAACTATATTGTTGTGGGGAATTTGAGGTGTTGGAGCATATTTGGGGCCTTTCCTAGGACGGCATATGTTCGTCCGTTGATAAGGGTTTGCTTGAGAGATTGATTACCCATTTCTTTTGTAGAGATGTCAGATCAGGTGTGCATTCATTGTTCAGATTTTTCAGTTTCTTTTCGTGTCTGGCTGTGATGTTGTTCTGGACGGATCTAGCTCGGAGTTTTAGGAATTGGGAGAGATGGGAGTAGGAGTTGTTGGAAATACAGGCTGCAAGTTTCTTTTGATTCTCAGCCATGATATGGTTGGCTGACCTTATTTGCTGTTGGCAGATGCTAATTCTTGCTCTCAGACAGTTGATGCTTGCGCATTCCATAATACATTTGAAGATAGGTTGGTTACCAGGTGCTTTAAATCGAAGGGACTTGGGAAACCAGTGATTTTCTAGTCCGCGGTGGGTGAAATTCAGATGACGGTGGTGTGCTTCAAGTTTGTAAGTGGATTTCTCTTAGGATCTTGCTAACTTTAGAGTATATCTCCCAGCCTCTTGGTGAGTAAATTTAAGAGTCAATGTCAAAATAAAACAAACAGATTTTAAAAATCATGGCAAGATTAGAAATTTCGTTTTCTTTCAAATTTTTATATTAGATAGGCAATGATATATTGAAAAGTATGGTGTCGATTTTTTGAGAAAATATTGCATAGTTTCGGGAAAATTTTATGAAAAAATTCCCCTAAAATTATCATTTGACACACCAAATTTGTGCTCAGGTTTGACGCTCTTGTTTACCAAAACCAGTAATTCTACACACTTCATTTCCTAAAGTATTGTAGATACATATTTATTTATCGATTTCTGTGAATTTAAGCAGGATTAGATTTTTTGTAATGTAGATAGTTTTTATGAAGGAATGTGTAATTTGGACATTCTGGGAGTATGTCAAGAGTATGCTATGACAAAAAATATTTTTCACAACGTGCGAAACCTTCAAACCACACAAAACTTTGGCCAATGATTATTGAAAAGATGCGCTTTCTAATGATATGTATATTTCTTTGGGCAAATAAAATTGTACGACACTAGAGCCTTTTCAAAACTGCTAAAATTGCATTAAATCATAACCTTCATAAGCCAATGTTATTTATAGCACAAACACATTTTTCCGATTTAACATATATATTTACACATTTTAGTCTTGTGAAATTAAACAGAAATATATATTCACTTATGTAAATCCAATAAGGTGCCTAAATCAGCTGTGAATTTGATTCAACTGTAATTAAAGATTTCCGAAATATGATGAATATTTAGGGCCTGCACCGCCATAGTGAAGTAAACAACATGAATATGCTAATTACCATGAGCAGGGCGGTTATCTTGAGGGAGAGGAAAATTTGAATATATAAATCAGTTAATAAAATATAAATAATAAGTAAATAAAATCATGGAAGCTTGTTGATCCTTTAAATCACTTGTTGGTGGAATTTGCGGCTTTGATTTGAGAGACCTATAGCATGCAAAACACTCAAATTATTCATTAAATTTATCACCTGTAATTATTATAATACATAAACCTGTAATTGGACGTTTCTAGATCTAATAATGCTGATGTTTGCGCTTGCTGTAATATAATAATTTAATTATACCTGATCCAACTGGAACTAGCGAGCCTTTATGTTGTAAAATAACTGCTGATTCTAGTTTTTCTAGACCTCGCTCGCCTTTATAGGCCATCGTCCTTTGCCTGTTCCGTGCTGTGAAATACTTTCAGGGACTCTACACCTAATAGTTGCACCTCTGCTCCAGCTCAAACCAAGTGTCGAGTGATGACGAGGGCATATTGTCATTGACAGACTTTGACCGGTCTCAGAAAACAGTCCCACACGGCAGAGAATCAGTTCAATTTAATTTTCAATTCGAGAAAAGTTGTACGTAGTCTTGTGTTTTGAAATGTCTTTGGTACAGACATACTCCCAGAATGTTGAAAATTACATATTCCTTCATTAAAACTATCTATATTACAAAAATCCAATCCTGCTCAAATTCACAGAAATCGATAAACAAATATGTATCTACAATACTTTAGGAAATGAAGTGTGTAGAATTACTGGTTTTGGTAAACAAGAGCGTCAAACCTGAGCGCAAATTTGGTGCGTCAAATGATCATTTTAGGGGAATTTTTTCATAAAAAAATTTTCCCGAAACTATGCAATATTTTCCCAAAAAACTATACCATACTAATTATATCATTGCCTATCTAATATAAAAAATTGAATAGATTCGAAATTTTGAAGCTTGCTGCGATATGTCTGATATTCTCTGGCGTGCACTCTTAAATAAGTTAGATGGTAAACCAGGATTCATATTAAGAGTTTCAAACGTTCACTGGTTAAAAATATTTATAAAATATTACTGGTTAAAAATATTTATAAAATAATTATTACAGCCAATGAAGCAAAGCAATTGATGAACTCAGGAAAGACAAAACTTGGTTAGTAATGAAAGCAGACAAAGGGAACTGTTTTGTAGTGATGGATCGAAGTGACTACGACGAAGATGCAAGAATTGCTAGACAATCAATGAGTATGTTGAACGTTTAGGGTCATAGCTTACTTGTTTTTAGTCTAAGTGTGTGTCTTTATATAATGTAATTTAGTTTATTGTGTCTTATTTCTTGTAGTTTTTATGTGCTGATTTATCACTAAAGTTTATACTATTTGTATTGTATCGTGTGTGTGTCTCGAATATCGGCTCAGTAAAACCCCCGTTTATAAACCAATCCAAGCAACCATTACAGTAAAAACTCTCCCGAATAAAAATTGAATCGTGCTAAATCGACCGTAACATTAAACGAACTTTCTCGAAGTGTAGTTAACCGTCATGGCCGATAAAACTGTTGATGAAATAGAGTCTGAGTTTCGTGACAGTTTATTGCATAATCACGACCGAGCTTCGCGCGAGGAATTAAACCAAGATGCTGAACCGCAGCAACAATCTATCAAACGTGTCAGGGTATTAATAGAAAAAGGTAAGGAGTATCGTAAGGACCTAATGCAAAGAGAACTTACTCGAACCTTTAAACTTTGGCGAAAGGAACTCGAAAATGCTGAGTCAGCACTTGCAGATACATCAGATATCTCAATTTTACAGCAAAGGCGAAATGCCTTAGAAGCAGGCATGAGCAGTTTAACCGTAGCTCATGACAATTTAGTCAATCTCTTGAGTACAGCTGAAATAGACAAATTGACAAAGCGTTATGATGCATGGTACATAGAACACAGAGAAATATTTAAGGCGCTTAACAGTAAAATCTTAGAAACCTGTAGCGAACGAGACAAACACAGTTCCATTATCTCAGGCCAGTCTTCTGTCGCGAAAAGGGCTGAGATGTTAACAAAGGCTGCTAGACTAGAGACTGAACTTAAGTTTCTTAAAATTGAACAAGAGAAGGCAGCAGAATTTTAAAAATCCAACTCATGAAAGAAATAGCTACAAACCAAGCAGAAATCAAGGCAGTATAGGATCAGCTGTGAGCTCACACGAACATGTCCAGGCATATCTCCAAAATCAAATTGAAGCTGAGAACATACCCGTTGTTATGGAAACTAATTTGTCTCCTCCCAAAATTGATGATCCTGCTCCACAGGTGTCAGTCCCTGCACTCAACTAAAGTAATTTAAATCCAGAAACAAAACCCTTTGTTCCCACCCCTCCTGCAACAAGCAACTAACGCAGTTTCCAACCTAGCCTGCGTTTTATGAGGAAACGCCTGCCGTAAAGGCCTAGCCATTTTTGTTTCTGCCCACGATGAGTGTCAATACACGACTGTCAAGAACAACCAATCAGGGGTCAGCTCGGGTTCTTCCCTGTAATTGCACGCTTGAATTGTTTATCTCGAATTCAAATGACTTAGCTTGCTGCTAATGTTTATTAAGAGCAGATGTCAGCAAAATTCATACAACAGACGACAACACACTGAAAATCGATTTTGCTCATACTTTTATGTTTTGTCGTGTATTATATCCTAATTATCGTGGCATAGTTTATTTGTCAAAATACGATTTTGTTTTTACATGAATAGAAACTGGCGATTTGCTGTGCCGTCAGATATTCGGTAGCTGTGAACATATAGGCTCGCCACTGGAGAGCCTTGCCCTCTTCATCGTTCTTGAAATGGACACAGGTTCAGCCTTTTGACCAGTCTGCTCACCGACTTGATAAGTATCTGGTAAATATGTCTTTTGTTTCTCCGATAGTCGTTTGTACTCCTTGGTACTTTTAAGGGCCCAGCCCATATTCAGAATCGGCGTAGCTACAACGTCAACTGGAATGTCTTCACAGATCTGTGGTACATCACAAGTTGCTCCTTGTTCAAGCTTTGATGCGTACATAATTATTGCCTTATCAAATAAAGTTTCGCACTCTAGAGCGTACTTGTGCTTACCACAGGCGAGGTAGTTTTGAAGTGAAGAATGTCCCTGAAAGGACATGACGCAGCCTTCCTCAGAAGAAAAGAATAAGCTCTCAGCATGTGGATTGTCTTCATCTATAGCGTCCTCTCCTGCAGAGTCAAACTGTTCAGGCACGGTGGTTTCTTTGGATTGTCGTCTTGTCATGATGTTAGTAAATAAAACTGAAGCGGTATGGGCGCTCATTTCATGGGGATCTTTGAATGTTGGTGGAAGATAATCTTTGGGCACGCTAAAATCGTCCCATAACTTAAGTTTGCCAGGTCCAATACCATAGGCTCTCCATACTCTGACCCCTTCTTTGCTGAATTTCATGTTGTTAAGGAAGCTGATCCCTTCCCGTTTTACAGGAAAAGGCACTTCATCACTTTGTGGGCCACACAACGTTACTCGTACCCCCGATACACCGCCTTGTGATTCTATGGCTGCCACCATTTTGCACAACATGACATCGAGATGAATTCTCATTTTGGTTTTAATTGTAGCCGCTTTGTGGTCGCAAGACCCTTTTCCTCCCTGTGGGTCAGAGAAATCCATGGATAGCTTCATGTTGTGCCTGGTAGCGATTTGGTTGACAGAGAGCAGTACTTCAGCGGAGTGGTAACACCTGGCGTTATCTTGTCTGAGAAAGAGGGTTGTTTTTTCTGGAGCAATTGACTTTATTTGATGGAAAACATTGTCAATGATGGCTAACACTGTGCTGCTGACCTGGGTGCACTTTTCAAATAGATGTACAAAAGTAACCATTTCCAAATTTCCCTCCTCGCTTCTTTGCATAGCCACTGTTATGTGCCAGCTGATACCACGTTTTCCAAACCAATCACTCTGTGCCTCGCGGAACTTTCTGGGCAGAAACTTCATGGCCCAATCGAGAACCAAGTGTGCAGAGTGTGGACCAAGATTTTTTAAGATATCTAACCTTCCTTGGTCTTGATTAATGGAGCGGAGAATATGAGCTTTCCATGCACCGATTTTGTTCTTTGATTGCTCGAATTGATACTTTATTTGGTCTTTTTCAGCTCCATCCTCAAGACTTTCTAACACTGAACTCACCTATTAATGTAAACATTCAAGAACATGTCATTAGCATCATGATTATTGTGATCACCTGATCACCATGATGACCATCATCATTTTCATTACTACCTTAAGGTTGGATTCATAATTACAGATAAATTGTCCACAACCTTGACAAACACTAAAACTCAAATTACCTAATAATATTCACAAAATTGCTATTATACCTCAGTGACCACATTGGGGAATATATTACAATGGTCACACTGTTCTTTATGGTCTGGATCACATTGGGAAATGTAGTCTTTGTCGCCGGGACAGCTGAGAGTGTACTTCTTACAGTGATCAGGTACTGAGGAATCCTGGGAAATGTGAACCTGTCCAGAGAGAAAACGTATGAAGTGAGCCGATCCGTCGTGTGTATGTGTGTGGGATGGAGGTTGGGGGTGGGAGTAAAGCATATATAATTTATAAGAAATAAAATGTTTATTGTTCTCGTAGTTTATCGTCTAACTTGTGGCTGTTTAATGTTACCCTTACAATATTATTAATTAATATCCAATATTATTCTATCTATTATCCCTGTCATTAAAAACCAAACAGTAGTTCCGATTAATGATTATTAAATACCTCTGTGCTTTGTTCGAAATCATTATTAAGTGATGCAAATCGAATATGACAAGATCTTAGTGTGAAGGGTACATTACCTTGTAATCAGTTTTTAGATATCTTTTTGCCTTTTTCAACTTCTCATTCTGCTTCTTTGCCCACGTGAGTCCTTTCCCACATTCATCTCCTAGCTTCTCATTGATCTCTTGCAGTTCTTCAAACGCTTTAGCTCCTTCTGCAGAAAAGTTGTCGAGACCCTGTAGCGATGTTCGTACGGACGCTGAACCCACATTCAATATACGGCATAAGGTACTTCTACTCATTGGAGAAAAGCCAGACCCGTTGCAATGACTTTCGTACTGTTTCGCAATTTGCGCAGGAATCATTGTTCTGATGATATTTGGTACTTTTACTTGAACGTTTGAGGACAGTTTAAGGGACTCTCCAAAAGGTAAATCTTGAACGATATGTGCACTTGCAATGAAAGACAGGAAGTGGTCAAGTTTTTCCGGTAGAACATGTATCCGGGCAGATGAATGGACAGGAACAACTGAACCTCTACCATGCAAAAGACGACGATGTCTGGCAATATTATAACGATACCTGGATATGTCTGGTATCCATTTTTGCAGATCTTTGTACGATACCTTATCTGCAATGATCGACAGAATCTGTCTGTGCGTACTCCAATGACTGGCATTGTTGTAGCATTCAGTAAGTGCTTCCAATAGGGTGGAATCGACATTGTTGCAAGCTCTGTGGTCATTTACTACTATATCTAGAAGATGTTGGTGGTCGTGAGGAGCAATTTCTTCAAGGCATGCGTCGACGACTTGTCTTGCCTTTCTAGTGTGTAGACGTTTTGTTCTCTCTGACGCTGAATCCCATGACGTCACCAAGGAGTGACAGATTGGGCTTACATCTCGTGAAGCTAAAAATGCATTTAGGTGGTCTCTTGCAGTAGTCTCGCAGAATTTTTCTTCTTCCTCTGTGAAGGATATAGATAGCACTTCTGAAGGTTGATAAATGGAGACAGGTGTATCCACTTGTAATTTAGTGGTGTGTGTGGTTGGAGTTGCAACATTTAATTGTGTCTTAATCTTTGCTTCTTTATCCATCTATAAATAGAACAGATCTACTTTCAACGACTAACATCTGATCGCATTACCCTTTCAAGGTAGCCCATGGAATAAATATTTGAAATCAAGCGCACACACTCATCAACTATTACAAAATATAAACCGCACGGCTGATTATCTAATCGGCTGATATACTGTAAGATTACTGTGTTTGTGCAGGGCCGCCGAGAGCTTGGCGGGGCCGCGGCAATATTTTTTAGGGTCCAATATTTCAAAATTTTTCCGGAAAAATTTTGTTTCGGGAAATTTTTCATACCAAATTTCGGTACTTTGCCCCCCAAAAACAAATATCTTGCCCTATGTGCGGAAATATTTCACCCCAAAAAAGGACTGGGGCCCAACAAAAAATTCCCCCCCTGTCCCCCCTCTCGGCAGCCGTGTGTTTGTGTAAGTGGATAAAGACATGCTCACGCACAGTTCAAAAATACTTATAAAAATACTTTTGGAGCTGAATAGCACTCATAAAGCAATAGAATCACTAAGGCCTAAAAAAATACCTGTGGTTCCGGTTTCATATCACAAAAAAATTAGGGTCGGTAGGTCAGAAATAATTTTTTTTCAATAATTTTTTCATGGTTTTTTCAACAATTAGTGTGACAACGTACAGACGCCATTTTGGCAGCAGCCCGCAACCAAGCAAAGAAAATAGGGTCGCATGGTCAATTGGCCTTTCTCACCCTGACGAATATCCGCCATTTTTGGGTGCCATCTAATTCTCGTTAATCAATGCAGACAATTAAAACGTTAACAATGTGAAAAGCAATTTTTTAAAATAAACTAACCATTTACCGAGCAAATTTATCATCATTTGTCCAAAACACTATAAAAAGTCGCTGTTATGTGGACTTATCTCACAGACTTCGGCTGAAAAGCCACCGAAAAATGGCGGCGTGAGAAAGGCTAATTCCATTGAAAAAATAATAGGGTCGGTCGGGAACCGGAACCACAGCGGGTATTTTTTTAGGCCTACGCTTGCTTTTCTTGTATTCTACAGCTCCCATGCAGCGTGTGTCAATCAGCTAGCACACTCACAATGTGAAGATTTTCAAAATCCATTAAGACATCTGATACATCCTCATTTAGCTCCCGATTCAACTTCTTTTCGCAATTAGTGCACATTCCTAAAATGAAACGTACAGAATATTTGTGCTCAGTGTTGGTTATGTTTCAAAATTCAGATCACTGAATATCTGACTTTTGCGGATACTCACCAGAGCCAACTTGGATAAGTTTCCCACTGGCATTTAAAAGTATTTCAGATATGCGTTTACCGACACCTCTGTCTGCCCTGGGTAGCTTTCCTTTGTGTCCAGATACCTCTTTTGGTATTCTACATCTCGTATTGGAGCCCCGACTCCACCCAACACCAAGCACAGAACGATGGTTTGGACAAATAGTAATCTCTTCTATGCTATGTGGTGTTTTAAACATACCAGCACGAGACAGTATTAACTCCACTTCATTTTGAGGGCCAGAAAACTTACAACATCGTAGGTGACTACTGATGTCCTTTTTACATGAAAGTATAGGTATCACCTGAGTGGCATGTGTACGCACTGTACAGTCTTTACGATCAAAGCCACAGAATCCGCCAACAGTAGCCTTAAGGGAACAGCAAATCTCCATAATTTATATTAATATTCTAATATCGAGAGAGCATCGACGTCATAGCGTCATAGCATTGACGACATAACGGTCGTAGTGTTTGTTGTGAAATCACAGTGATGAGTGTTAGCGGTTAGCCCGTTTTACAGGCGGGCTGGCGCGCCAAAACAAAGCGCTAGCTCCCGGAATCAGCGCTATAAATAGTGTAGTATAAATAATATTTCACAGGATCATATATAATATATGATCCTGTGAAATCATACAAGTTTCATGGCCACAACCCACGGAGACGCTAACAAAGACCTTTTATTAAGATTGTATTCTGTCGGGAAAATGTTATATACAACATTATATTCACAAGAACAGATCTAGAACAATAATAGTCAGCCCGGTTAGGCGAGCGGCGAGCCACAATATTAACAACGACAATGACAATGTCAACGCTTGTCAATCAAGTGTCTTGCAAGAAATTGAAGTTTGAACAAGTTATGAAAGATTGAAAGTTACGAAAATATTTCGCTTCGGATATATATAAAACATTGATTTATCATGCAAAGAATGCAATTACATTAATTTTACAAGAAGAAAATGCGAAGGAAGTGCAATGAGCTCAATTTTTCATACAATTTTGTTGGTCACGCGACGCTACACATTACTATGATTCATGGACTCAGTCGTAAAGTGACACAGGAAACAATGCGTTTAACCTGGCAAATAATAGATGAAACAACCGTTAATCTCTTAAACTTTAACAACTGACAAGGTTAGAGCAAATATTTCAGTTTTAAGAATGTTATCTATCGGTAAACACGAATGAATTTATAGCCCACCAGATGCCGCCATGTACATTTCATTGTAGTAAACATTCGAATTTTACGTAACTTTGACATCACGTCTCATGAATATAAATCAAATACACAAGCAGATATTTACATCAGCTAACTAATCATCATTTCGACTGTTAACATCCTGAAACTTGTTGTATTTAGAAGTATCGCACATAGTTTAAATGACCGTTATTTCGAGGCTACTTTCACAGTCAGAAAAAGTATGGTGAATATAAAAAATTGTCATTATTTTAGTACAAAACTCAAATCTTTCATAATGATAGTGAGTCAAATATATATGACAACAAAAACAAATATCATATTTTCGAATCCAACGGTTAAATATTTTCGTTACGCAAAGTCGATTAAGTTGGTCAATCTGGAACACTTCTAATTAGTATATTTACCCACTCTGACTAAAACAATTATTTCTCAAAAACAAAATCGTATTTTGACAAATAAACTATGCCACGATAATTAGGATATAATACACGACAAAACATAAAAGTATGAGCAAAATCGATTTTTAGAGTGTTGCCATAAATTTTCGAATTTGTCTGATGCTTGTTGACATTCGCTCTTATAGGCCGTAGGATGAGCATCCAAAAGATGCAATTCCGTTGCACCCCTCGTGTAACTACGTAATTTTCACATGAATAAATAGATAAAAACTTACTTTATCAGAATCCGTTGCTCCCCAAGCGAAACAGGTGCACAATTGGGAGAAAAATCCCTCCAAAGTTTGATATTTTCGCGCTTCGAAATGCTCGAACCGCCATTATTTTGGTAGCAAATACGCATGCGCAACTCAGCCAAACTCGCACTGCGCACGCGCAGACTATAAAAATAGATTCTCACTGGGGGGTTTCCCCGATTTCTTCCGCAAAAACAAAATAAAATCACGGAATACTGATAAACCTTGTATATAAATACACCCACATTAAATATTGTTAAAAACACATTGCATATTTTGCTTGCTCTTATGCTAAATCACTTCAATTCATTGGTTATTGTTTCAAAATACCGTTTTAACGTTTAATTCTACTTTGTATTAACATCCTAATTCAATACAAATTTGTGTGAGGTAAAAAACCCACCTGTATAAAACAGCTAGGACGAAGAAATAAAAAATATATATACATACAATTCACACGATCAAGGAACAAATGAAATATTTCGCTAAACTTAAAGCCTTGACCAAACGTAAGAAACAATGTCGCGGAAATATTCGTGATTTTTAATTGGCTTTTATTGCATTTTATGAAACACTCTTTATCCGTTTGCCGACGCTAATAAGACAATATAACATACCGAAAGATTGGAAAGACAAATAATATGACAAACAGTGTTTCCCAGTTCATACCGGGCTTTAAGGGATATTTATATAAACTCGAAATTCATCATAAAAAAAGATAAATTGGGAGCAAATATAAAATCCATAATGTCATTATAGCTATCTATAATTGAAAGAAATGTTTTCATCTTTGAACCCAGATTTTCATCAGAGCAATAAAATCCCACTTATTGGATCCTGGCCAAGGGCTTGCTAGTTGCAGGAAATTGCGTCTGCACCGCAGGCTAAGGGCTTTCACGCTCAAAACAAGATTGCATGTATTCTGCAATAAGCTGTCCTGGCTTTTGTCTGGTAAAGTTCTACTTCTCGTATTTGAACTATTACATATATTATTTATATTGTGACATAAGTTGGTATTTAGCCACTATCTAGAATAACAACGAACGATTCATTATGGTTTTTCTTGTCCACACTAGTTGACTTTTTCTTATAGATTTGCTGCTGTGCATTTTAACTCCTCCACCAGGGTGCGTTTTAGCCAACCTCGTACCCAGGATCTTTCTTTGGGAAAGACCCTGGCTGCGGCTGGTCACGTGCTTCATCAAAAATTTAGCGCCTGAGGGGGTGTGGGGAAAGTATCAAATTACATCAACATGCTTCTAGTGGGATATTCGTTAAAAACATA